GTAATGATCATCATATAGCAGGTATATATGTTCGTGTATCTCACCCGAGCGAATTCGCGTAGAAATGTTCGAAAAACAACAGAAATTTCCCAAAATTTCTTCAAAATTATCCCATGGTACTTGACCATAGCCTTATCTCGAGTAGTGATACCAAAAGAAGGAAAAATCGAAAAGTTATCTACTCTAAGCTCAGCGAATTCGAATAGAAGTGTTCAGAGACCAACGAGAATTTCTCTAAATTTTCTCATTCCTTACAAGTTCAATTCATCAACAATCTCACCAGCAGATCCCCGTTACCATCATCATGATTCCCCCTCCGTGCTTGCGTAAACTTTCCTTGCATCAGTTGATTCACAAATGGCCCCCAAACGTGACTTCCTTGCTGTAAACGAACCAATTCTAGCAGATCTATATTAGGGTTGAATCTATCTGTCTCCGTTCTCGGATACGATATAATACCCCGATTATACCTACACCAAGTCAATTACACATGGACAACAGTATTGCAATATATGTCCACTCGCATCAGCTGAGCTCAGGAGTTAAAACAGTGTGGTAAAAGTTGCCCATGGTCAACCACGTGTGTTGGTGACAAAATAAAGACTGTGAGGAGATTTTGGATAATCCTTGTTACTTTCTGTACATTAATCGTATCTATTCTCCCAATTCGTATATAAACCTCTTTGATTTGTGAGGAAAATATTGAGCTCAGCTGAGGAAGGCGAAGATTTTTTTGCAGCACTGCTTATAAGTGTACAGAAACCATCACGAATTTTCCACAATTTCCTCAGAATTTTCACATTTTCATCAACACATGTGCAATTTCTATCACACTAATATTCAAGTTCTCCAAAAGCATTAAGCTGTACCCTCTTTGAAAATTGTGTTTGCATTTTCACATTCTTATTCCTAATTCTATACCTATAACTTGTTATTGAATGTATCAGTTTCCGTCCAGGGATACAATGGAGTTTCACGAAAACATATTTCACGTCTATTGCATATCACCGCGAATATCGCGTTTTTCACAGAACGTTCCGCCACTTCACGTAAAACGGGTTGTGAAACTCCAATATAATACCCCTATTATATTCGCGATCATTAGCTATCAACGCTCACACACGGGCAATACTCAACTTCATAAAAATCAGAAAATGACAATTATATTCTTCTTATCATCACATACCACTCTTATTCCTAAGTGTCTCGTGGATCTACCGAGGGTCCCTCAGGAAACATATGCACATGTGTTAGTGACAATACGAAAATTCTGAGGGAATTCGGAAATATTTGACGATTTCTGAGGAAGTATTTACACAGCTCGACCAATAGGTATGGCTCTGCG